CCACACATACACGCACAGGCTCCCATCTCCCCATTCATCCCCTCCCTCTCTTCTCTCCCTCTCCGTCCGTGGCACAAATGCATTTGTTCAATACCTCCAGCAAACAGATTAGCGGGCTGTTATCAGCGACAGGGAGACGGTGATAATGGTTTTCACCACATCTTCTCTCTGCCACAGATTAAAATGGGCCAGGTCACCCGCCTCACGCACACACACCCGCCTCACGCTCACAGACACATGCACACACCTGCATAACCTCAAAACTTGAAGTTAATACACACATTTTTATTTCATACGTACATCCTCACACCCCATGCGTGCATTATCAAAACATACGGTAACTTATATGTTCACATGGAATACACACACACACACACACACACACAAACAGCATATCTAACAAATTGGTCTTGTTTTAACCTGCTGATGGCGGGTGGGGGGCACATAATGTGTTAAAGATGAAGACAAAGTGTTTTTTTTATTTGAACTTTGTGCTCACATGTTTCAGGCTGCTGAGCTCTACCTGAATATGGATCTCATCAAAGAGGCAATCGATGTCTTTATCGAGGGTGAGGAGTGGAACAAAGCCAAGAGAGTCGCCAAGGAGCTGGAGCCGAGGTTTAAAGACACACGTTAACATATACAGCACATACACACTCTTATATACTGTGTATATATATATATATATATATATATATACCAAAGTTATTATTGTTGGCAAAACAGCAGCAAAGTCAGAATAAACACTAGAAACACAAAGATGAGGAGACAATAAATAACCTCCTCATTAGTTGAACTAGTTCAATTCACTGCTGTGATTCTGGGTATTTGGCTGGGTATTTGCAGTGTGATAATTAAATATATTTATAACCTCATAGAAAGACGGGGGGTTTGTCTACAGTTCAGAATAATTGGAGTTGTCTTTTAAAGTTTTTGCTCTTTATCTCATTCCTCTGATCTTTGGCAGGTACGAAGACTATGTGGACCAGAAATACAAAGAGCACCTGAAGAACCAAGGCAAAGTGGACTCTGTACGTACAATCACTCTGTTCAGATTGGACGTAATGTGGACCATTTTCTTGAGGAAATAGTGCCGTATAATACGTCTAATACTGTAATCTATGAGACATCCTTTACTCACTGAAATCCATGTGGACCAGAGGCATCAATGGTGGGGAAAAAAATCATACTGAAGAGGAAACGAACCAATCCAAATATGTCTAAAAGAAATAGAATAATTCATCTTTCACCCATTTCATCCTTGTGGTAAAAATTCTGTCTAAGGTTGTGGCAGATCTAGAGTTTGTTGTATTTATTTCAGTGACAAAGCAAGATATAAAAAAATCTAGTTATATCCAAGTACATACTCTTAAATGGTCTAATTTCAAGTTTCATGCTGTCATTTATAAAACTAAAAAGCTGTTTTTTGTCTGTGTGTGTCTGGTCAGCTGGTGGGTGTCGATGTCATCGCAGCTCTGGACATGTATGCAGAGAGAGGCCAGTGGGAGAAATGTCTGGATACAGCCTCTAAACAGGTACTGAATACACACTTATACAAATGTTAGTCGTGTTTTTGTTCTTGTTCGTGTTTTGTGTAAAACCAGCGTTCCTCATTCTCCATTTTGTGTGTTGTTTTAGAACTTTAAGATCCTCCATAAGTACGTCGCTCTGTACGCTACACACCTGATCAAGGAGGAGGAGGCTCTGAAGGCTCTGCAGCTCTACATACAGCACGGAGCGCCGCCTAACCCTCAGGTACTGAATATTTTCAACTACTCATTCATGAAAAACTGCAACCTTTCTTGCAATTACATTTAAAACAGTCAACAACATGTTTCCAGTGGTAAAAAGTAACTGATTTTGTTTTACTACCAGAACTTTAACATCTACAAGCGCCTGTTTCTGGATCTGATTAACCTTCCTGACACTGATGGACCAGAGTCTTACCGAATGTGGGCCGACCTCCGCAGTTTCCTGCTGCAGCTGGTAAATCACCCCAGTATCTAGTTTAGACCGTCAAAGCTGAAAAGCACCGTCTCTAATGTGGAAGCAAAATGGTATCCTTGATGTGAATTTCCTGCTATTATTCCACACTTATTCTCATATAATTCCCCTTTTTGTGATGCCTGTGTGTGTTTTTTTGTTTTGTTGTCAGTGTGAGAACATGTCCAGGTCAGCCGAGGCCAACTCTCCAGCTCATGAAGACTTTGAGCAGATGCTTCTGATCGCTCACTACTACGCCACTCGATCTGCCGCAAAAGGAGTCGAGCAGCTGGTACGCAAAAAGAAACACAGAAACATTTCACGCAGAAAGTTTTATTTTTACCTTTCCCCCCCAAAAAAACAAACATAAACTTGTGACAGATGATTGATCTTCTTAATGTCAGAGCTTAACTCTCTGCGCTCTACCCCGCAGCCGGTGGCTTTAGCCTGACACTTGTTTTATTACTAATTTTAAAATCAAAGCTTCCTCCTCTTCCTGCTGTTTATTTTCAGATCAGCGTAGCAGCCAAGCTGTCGGTGTCTCTGCTGCGGCACACTGAGCTCATTCCTGCAGACAAGGCTTTCTACGAGGCTGGGCTGGCCTGCAGGGTGCGTCCACCAATGAGAGCAGTAGTTTGGATCAGATCTTTGGAGTGTCTGTAATCATTAACTGGGACAAAATGTTGTTTTAAGTGTCGGTCATGACCTAAAAATGTCACCTGATTTGTCATTACTGGTATGTTACTACCTACTGTGTGTGTGGATTAGATTCTAAATTGAAAAGCACCAGCACATTTGTGAAGGACTTCCATGACTACAGGCAAACCTAGGATTATACTTTTATATTGACATGTTGTTTTGAAAATTACAAGATATCTTTTGTATCTCGTTGTGCTCCATCAGTTTGTTTCTGAAAACAGTCAGGATAGTTGTATTGAGTTTTTGTAATGGCGTGTGAATTAGACAGTAGTGGGCATTTTGGGGAAATATATATGTGCCAAGAAACTGATAAATAAACCTTTTGTACCAGATTCACATGTTCTCTGTTTTTTTTATAAGGCTGTTGGCTGGGAGAACATGGCCTTCATCTTCCTCAATCACTTCCTGGATCTGTGTGATGTAAGTAAACTGTAGGACTGGACATGAACGAATGTTAATGTATCTACACTGTACTTAAAAACTGCCAGACTAGATACCCTGTTGGTATGTCCGAATCAACAAAATCCAGTATTGTCTTATATTTAAATCCTTCCCAATACCATAAGACTGTTTGACCATGGATTTAGGTGTTTGGTTGCAAATGAAAAGGCAGTAAAAAAACAATAGGATCTGATTATTTCTATTCTGATTGGTTGATTTCTGTCTCCAGGCGATTGACGAGGGGACCCTGGACGCTCTGGATCACTCTGACTTCCTGGACACCGACATTCCCTTTGAGGTTCCAGTTCCCACCAAACTCTGTGTCACCGTAAGACTTCCTTCCACACAACCCCGAACACCCACACTGGACACGCTGCGGTCAGGCTGATTAATGGGGCCAATATTAGTGCTGTGTTATAAATCCGATCTGGTTCAGTTATTAAATGATAAGATCCGATAATATAGATAATATGTTATAGCTCACATTAAAACTTTTACTTGATTTTTTATAAATCTATACATGTAAAATAAATGTAAGGATCATTTAAATCCCAAAAATGTGACCTTGTTGGACGACTATAAATGGAGCCAGCCAGTGAACACAGAACATACAGTCATAATATGATTTATTGTTTTGGGTAATAGTAATAATAGTATTATCTGCTGTACCTTTAATAGCACAGGAAACATTACACCTAACCCTTGGATACAATCCTAAAACAAATTTACAAATAAATTTGATTCTAAAATTAATTGAAATACATAATGAAACAATATATATTTAAGAAAACAATAAACGATCAATACTGCGTAATTATAGTTAGCAGTGTTATAAACGGGCGCAAACCTAGCTGACTCGTAACATTTCCACTGAATCTGAAAGAATTTGACCGGTGTACAGAACCGATGACTTGCTGAAATTAGTTGAGTTGATTTTTTTTTTTTAAATTACAGTATATTGAACTGTAACACCTGTATCGTGATACATATTGTAATACACAGCCCTGATATTTTAATATTTAAGACATATTAACTGCTACATATTGAGTCTTTAAAGTCCTGAAATAGTCTAAAGTTGTGTCTACTTATTATTATTATTTATTACTTATAACAATTTTGACTACTGTTTGTGATCAGTGTTATCAAGGTTCAATTAGTTAATGATCATTAGGCTTCTATTACTGTTTTTTATGTTGCTTATAGTGCTGACACAAATCGAATCACACAAAGTTGATGACTGGTCTTATTTCATTTATGTAGCAACTCAACAGCTTCTTAAATATGAGGATTTGCTGCATTTTTTATTTTGCTTTATACTGTCTGTAATTTCAATATCTTTTGGAAAACTTTGAAAATAATCAACAGATTAATTCATAATTGTTAGTTCCTGCCCTGGTTCCTTGTTAAATTGGTATGAAATCTAATTCCAGATAGCATTAAAAAGAGTCTCAGCTAACTGAATAGTCTTTGTTTGTTGCTGTTGATGCTGGAAG